TCAAATGTTTATTAAAGCAGGTCCCTTAAAACCTGCCAATAGATATTAAACTAACCACTTTGTATGAAGTGGAAAGAGGAGTAAATAAGAATTTTAGTGACTACATGTACTTAAAAGAAAGAAAATTACATTTCTTTTAAATAATAGTGCATAAAATATAGACTCTTTCACTTGTCTTCCTTCCAATTAGCTTGCTACATAAAATTACACACCATTAATTCAAATTTCATCCTCACTTCAAATATTCATGTTTCTCAATGTGTTATCATCCAACTGCGGGACTTGGTCTTATCTGCACATTATTTTTACCTCAAAGGGCCGCATAAAAGCCACTTGGTGACTGACGTGGACATATCTAAAGCACAGAGGCACCTGTCCTTTTGGCATTTCCAGGGTGCAGCAGCCACAATAGCTACTTTATTTGCCATGGTTTGAAAGCTTTACTCATCCTAAAGACTCAGCTCTGTAATCACACTTGGTTAGCTTGAGAGTAGTCACTCGAGGTCATTTATTTTTCGTGACGATTGCTTCCCAGATACGGGTTTATTTAGACTTCACTGATAGCTATTTCATGACAGTTTTTTTTTCACCACTGCTCATTTGCATGTGTGGAATTCATACTGTGAATATGAACTAAGAATGAATTTTTTATTTTAAAGTTAAAGTTTAACTAGAATGGTCTTTTTTTTTTTTTTTTTTTTATCTGTGCCAGATTGCTCCTTTTCTGGGAAGCAGCCCCATGAAAGAATTGAATACTGTCCCGCTAAAGGAGTCCATGACCTGCTGCATTTATAATCCTGGAATTCCATGATTCAGCCCCAGATCTTCCAGCCTTTCTCTTCATGCTCCTGCTTACATTTGGTTTAGATTTGACATTTCTTTGTTTAAGAGGAACAAGGTTTATTAGTACTAGTCAGAAGCCATCAGGCCCCAATATTTCAGCAAAAAAATCCCAGTCTGCCAGAGTGAGCGATGCTCTGGCTCCACTGCAGTCTGCATAAACCAATTACCCCAGCTTGCATTTGAAATTGTCAATGGTCTGTGTGCTTCCACCTATTAGCTCATGTGATTCCTGAAACACCCCTAAATGCCTATGATGAGAAGGGAAAACGATAACAATCCTTCATGAAAAAATGGAATGCTTATTTATGGAGCATGGTATGTATGTCAGAGACTGGGATATGTCAGGCACTGACAGCTGAGTATCTGCTGGTGCCCAAGACAGCTATGTCCCCGCTCTTAGGTAGCTTATAGGTTGATGGGTCATTGAGTCCCACCATGAGGCAAGCACCCCAATAAAAGGTCTCGATGCTCTCTTTCACCTACTACTCATAACAAACTACGGGAAAGGTCTTATTACCCTCGTTTCATGGCTGGGATGACGGAAACTCCCAGAGGTTAAGTCACTGGCTGATAAAGGGAAGAGAGGATGCTCAGACTTGGGCTGAGCTGATTTCACTCTGGATCCTTTCCAAATAGTGTGATCTCATGTCATCCCAGATCAATTCAAGCTCGTTTCCAGTTTCCCACATCCCATGGCTTGGCTTAGAAAGGTAGCTGGTGTAACACAAAACAGATATTGAGCATCTAAGATTAATCCCTTTAAAGATTTTAACCTTTATCGAGGCTCAAATGGGGGAAACTTTGCGTGACCAATGGTGTGGGGGGTGTGTATTTGGAGTGGAAAGTGAATGAGAGGGGTGATCCAGGAATTCCCAAACGCAGGCCCTAACTCAGCAAGTCACTGGGTCAGTTATTTGAAATGAGTCATTTGTGGCATGGGGACAAAGGATCTCAGCCCCTCACTGAACTATCGGGAAGCAGGCAGAGAAAATATTCCCCCCTGAGAGGATAATCCTAATTACAACCCCTAGAATTTGCATGTCCCTCTATAGTTTGCAAAGCACTTTCATACCTGTTTTTCTTTCATTGTCAGAATTGTTTGCTGCATTAATGGAGAAGGGACCAGGGTTCGAGATGACCTAGTTTGGTGGTTTTTATATATATTTTTTTAAGAGTAAACTCCTTTGTCAAAATGAAATTTCATGCAGTACTCTGCATATAAAACTGATGCAAGTGGAATTTCTGTGGTTGGGATGGGGTCAGAGAAGGAGAGAAACAGCCTACTCCTAAGCCTTTGCTCCGACTGCAATGCCTGCTTTTGAGGGGTCTCCAAGGAACCTCCAGGTTCCATGAAACACAGTAAAACAAACATTATTCCTAGCGACTATTCACTTTACATCACTTCCCTCCTCCAAGAAAAGAAATCTGAAATCCCTGGAGGTCACATGAGGTGTTCAAGGCCATTCCTCACCCAATGTTCTTGTCCACAAAACCCACCAGGGCTGGTTTCTCCCATGGCTAGAGCCTGAAACTCTACCTGGGAGCCAGCTTGCCCCCAATTGTTTCAGCAAAATATCCTCTTGATCACAGACAGTAGCAGAACAATTCTTTCCTGCTCCTGACAGCATTTTCAAAGTGTCTGCTCCTCAAGTGAGGGGTAAGAGGAACTGGCTTTGTTTCAGACAGGGAACCCCTTGAGTCATGGCATGCCAGCCGCTGAGTGGCTGGGCAGTAGGTCCAGACAGTGATCTGTTAGTCCCAAATACGCTGCCTGAAAAACGCAAGAGGAGCAGTCTGTAGTCAAACAGTATCTCCCCAACTGAAAACCTACATTGAACCAAACATTGGTGGTGGTTGCACAACATTATGAAAGTACTAAATGCCACTGAATTATACATTTTAAAATGGGTAAGATGGTAATTTTGATATTATGTGTATTTTAACACAATAATAATATTATTATAATAATTTTAAAAACTTACATTGGCTCCTTATTTCCCACAGGGTCAAGTTCAGACTCCCTGGCATAGTTCACAGCCTGTCCCCTCTGCCCCTCCACCTCTATATTCTCATGTCTTGCTATCGCCCTTCCAGCCTCGTCATCTGCTCTAATGTTCAGGTCAGTCCAAATTGCTCTCCATTCTCTGAACAAGCCATGTTCTTTCACTTTTTTATGCCAACATACAATTTTGCTTTTAGTAACTATAGGAAACATATATAGTGCTTATTATATGCATATATACACATATATCTACTGCTTAATATATACAGGACTTTTGAGTCATTTAATCCTCACTAATTCTGTGAAGTAGGTAGATACTATTAATATTTATTATTAAGCCCATTTTATGTTTGAGGAAATCAAGGCTTATTGCCTTAGTCAAGGCCACACAATTAGTAAGCACCCATGACAGGGTTTGGACGCACATGTTCTGGCTCCTGCATCCTTGCTACTCAGCTCTGCAGAGTACTCCCTGCGGATGACTAGTCCCTGAAGTCTCATCTGAAGAATTCTCCCTCCTCCTTCGACACCTGGCTCAAATATCACCTGCCCTGCGAAGCCTCCCTGGTGTTCCCCAGGAAAAAGCGTGACTCCCTTCTCCAGGACTGATAACGCACATATTTTGCAGCATATTTCACGTTGTGTGGGAACAGTCTACTTGTGAGTCTGATTCCCTACTAGGGTGGGAGGTTCCTGAAGATGGGGCCAGGCCTTATTTATCCTGATTCCTCTGGATATGTTTGATGAATGAATGGGTGGGTGGATGGCTGGGTGCATTTCTCTCAATTTTCTGATTTCTTTCCATAAGTAACAAAATCTTACCTTCCTTTGGAAATTCTGGTGTGGTTCCTTCGGGGTTGCGCCACAGCCACTGCTAACCACTTTCATTTTCTGTGTAACTTGCCAGGCAAGAAGTCCATGCAGACTTAACTTTTCAGTAGTTCACGTTAAAAATAAATACTGCTTTTGATTTCCAAATATTAAACCATAGTATCTATACCTATGTATCTACCATAGTATCTATATCTATACCCATCTACCTATAAGGTAGATATGGGATTATGATTCAAAGCATGATTTTTCAAACTCAAAATGCTTCCCCCGAAAAATATTGCAATCCCCTGCCCTCTTTGACATCTACCGGGTAGAACAGATAGAGAAAAACAGATTAACGTTTACACAGAAAGGAGTATAAATGGGAGCAAGAAAGAGTAGACGAATGTGTGGGTGGATGAGAGGACGGATTAAACGATGGGTGGATATGTTGATGATGGGTGGATGGGAGCCGAGTGGATACATCAATGAACCGCTAGTGGGTGGGTGGAGAAGAGGATGGTGGATGCAGCTTTATAAAGAGATGTGGAATAGCGTGTATGGAATGATGGATAAGTTGTAGTATAGTAGGCTGCATGGAAGGATAGGTGGTTGGATGAAAGGTTCTGTGGTTGGATTAATGGATGAATGGAAGATGGATGGATGTGAGTGGATAATGAGCGGACCAGAGGATGGATAGCTATTTGGGAGGATGAATGAGTATGTGCGTGGGTGTATGGACAGAGGTGCCAGCCTGGGACCGGAGGAACACATGGGTTAGTGGAGCCAAATACCAGCCCCATGACTGTCCATGGCTAGCTTTCCCCAGCAGTCGTGTGACAAGAAGCAAAAATCCGCCCAAGCCATGTGGACTTCCCTTCTCTGCGAGGGGAAGAGGAATGAGCTCTCCTTCCCTCCCCTGGGACGAATTACCAGCTCCCCACCCCTCACTCCCCAGCGCGGGCAGGGAAGCGCCACCATCCAGCGCAGGACCTCGCCCCTTCCCAGCTCCTCTCCCGGGATATCCAGCTGCCTGGGAAACCCGGCGAATCACTCTCCAGCCGGGTTCAAAGATAAATTTAGCGGGAAGGGAGAGGCGGGAGGCTGAACACAACGGGGCGAGGTTTTCGGACTCTGTCATCCTCCGTGCTGAGGCCACCCTCCCAGCTGCGGGCGTGTCCCGGGGCGCGCGGGCCGGTGGGCGCTCGGAGGCAGGGTCCCCCCAAGCCCTCCCGGCGCCCGCCCCGGCTGCCAGGTTCCCGGTCTCGGTAGGGAGACGGGCGGGGGCCGAGGGGCAGCGCGAAGGAGGGCTGGTACGTCTTTAAACCTCTGCCGGCTGCTTAGTCACAGCCCCCTCGCTTGGGTGTGTCCTTAGCTCGCTCCCTCCCTCCGTCTTAGGTCACTCTTTCAACCCTCGAATAAAAACTGCAGCCAACTTCCGAGGCGGCCTCATTGCCCAGCGGACCCCAGCCTCCGACAGGTTCGGTCCGCCGGCCCCCGCCCCGCGCCCCGGGACCCTCCTCCGCGCTCGCTCGCTCTCTCGGTTCGCCCCGACGCCATGGACACGTTTTGGTGGCGCGCAGCCTGGGGCCTCTGCCTCGTGCAGCTGAGCCTGGCGCAGATCGGTGAGTGCCCGCCGCAGCCGGGCGGCGGGAGCGGGTGCCAGGGGTGCGCAGCCCGGGCGCCGCGGCAGCCCCACAGGCTAAGCCGGCCCTGGCCCTGGGGGACCGAAGTCAAGTGGGCGACGAGCGACGTGTGTTGCGTTCCGGAAAGCAGTTGGCGATTTGCGCTAAGCTGTTGGAGCGTTTGTCGGTGGGAAGCACTGTTTCGTTGAAAGGAAAAGAGAAAGTTTGCCGGGCAGGCTGCGGCGCGCAGTTTTGGGTGAGGTGGCTGGAGCTGGAGCACATGGCAGAAAGTAACTGTACTCCTGGATGCGCGCGCTCGGTGTCCGGACTCACAGGCTCCGGTGCCCAAGGGGCGGTGGCCAGCAGGGCAGAGCTGGGCGGGGCAGGCACCGGGGCTGGAGCCGGGGCTGGGACAGGGGTGGGGGCTGTTGGCAAGGTGGCCGCAGAGGGGCTCGAAGTGCATGTGTAAGAGCGGTGGCAATGGACTTTCCAGAAAGGGGTCCTTGATCCTCGCGGCTCCCCACTGAGCCTGGGTTCCAAAGCTTACAGTCTACTCCTCCCTGTCACTGACCACCTTAGCCTGTGGGAACCTGAACCAGCTCTGCGCTGAGGCCCTGGGTCTCCATGAGGTTTCCGCCTGGGGCAGAGAGTATGAACAGGAGGGCAAGACCAGGCCAGCTGCTCAGTCCTTGCAACCTCCTGTTTCTGCCAATCAGTTTGGGGAAATCCAAACAGTGCGGTGGCTCATGTTCCCTGCCTGGCAGCCTCGGAGCCGGGAGGGGAATCTCACACCAGGGCAACATCAGGGACCCTGGAGCTGGGGCTCCAGTATCACATCCAAACAGGGTGGGCGCCTTTCCATGGCTGTGGAGGGGAGGGGCCGCCGGTGAGGTGTTCTAGCGTGGCTCAACCCCAGCGGTTCCCTTTCTTTGTTTCTGTATGTACAGATAATTACATGGCCGATTGGCTTATCGCTAGCAAAATTAATTTTTCTTTTAAGAAGTGCCAGCTGGGTCATTAAAGCAGATCAGCCTACAGTTAATTCTACTCAACAAGTATTTATTAAACCCAGTTTTGGGGGGTAACAAGAAAGCAAAACACACAGTCCCACACGGCTACTGAGCTAGGTGGGGATCTGGGCATCTGGGATTTAGATTCCTGAAGCAGAAGGAATAATGATAGTTGTAGCAATAACAGCACTGGCTACCATTTACTGGCACTTTCACTGCGCCAAGCGCTATGCTAAATCCTTTACATGTGGCGTCTCATTTTACTTTCAGAATGGCCCAGTGAGAGGTGTCCTGTTATTAGGTCTGTTTTACAGGAGGGAAACTGAGGCTCAGAGAGGTTAAGTGACTTGCCAGTGTTCACGCAGCCAGGAGTGTGCTGGGTGTGGACCCAGGTCCACTGGGTTGCAAAGTCTAGGCTTAGTCAGAATCTGTTAGACCGTACGGGATGGGCAAACTCAGAACGGATTTTGGGGAAGGCGAGGTGCTGGAGGACCTCAGGCGAGGCTTCCTAAGGGAACTGGAGTTCGAACAGGCCCTTGGAAGGCGGAAACACTCAGGATGGGAAAGAAGAGGGTGACTCAAGAGCAGAGAGAGCCCTGAGCCTGGCCTTTAAGAAGAGAGGCCATGGTGGTTTCCCTGTGGCCTCTAGGGAAGTTTATTTGTGTGTTACCTATCAGTGCGGACTTCTACTTTGTCTCTGAGATTTCTGACTCTTTACAACCTGTCTCCCTGATTCTTCTAAAGGCCCCCCACCCCCACATATTTGGTGCTGTCCTAACCCTTGAGGTTTTCCCAGAGACCAGCAGGCTCACCCCTGCCTCACTCTGACCCTGAGTGTCTGTGGTATCTTTGGGCAGAATCATTTGGAAGAAGCATAACGAAGTGCCGGTAGCGATAACTGCCAGCTTTCATGTGCTTGTAAAGTTGTTTGGAAGGAACTGAGACTTGGAAAGGAGACATGACTTGGGTTTAGGGCTGGGCAGGTGTGGGGTGTGGGGGTGGGAGAAGAAAGAGGAGTGGGGAAGGAAAGGAACTGTTGTAACCTCATTCTGGGGAGCGGTGGGCTCTAGAAGACCACGAGGAAACTTTGGAAAGGAGCAAGGTCTGGGGGAGGAAGGAAGGGTCCAATCTTTGTATAGGAAAGCAAAAAGTAGAGAAATGCTCAGTTGTAGTTACATTGGACCCAGGAACTCTGAGTTGGATAACAGGTATCTTGAATTAGGTGTCTTGTGCAAGAGGAAGAAAGTGGCCCTAGGTAGAAAGGGTAGAGGGGGTGAGTCCTCCATGCATGTATCTCCTTCTTTTTGTGGGCTAGAGATCATCACTAGGGAATTGCCCCCTAGCGTTGAGAAATAGGGGAATATCTGAGAGCCCTGGGGCCTGGGGGTGGCACCCGCCTTTCTGGTCCCGCTGAGCATTAGAGACTCCTCCCCTTGCAGGGAGTTAGAGTTTTGGCTGTGTTTCCCCACGTGAAGACGCCAGGAAGCAAAGCCCCATCCATGCCAAGGTTAGCATCAAGTAATTCAGTTATTCCCCTTTTGCGCATTGGACGTCTACTTCCTGCAAAGGCATGGTGACAGGTCCGTGTGGTGGAGGCTGGCAGCCAGTAGGAAAAAGTTCCGTTTTCTTCCAAATTGCCCCACACAGGAGCATGCTGGACAGCATGAAATTTCTTAGTTTATGACAGATCTCCTTCCATTCATTCAGGAAGTATTTCCTGACTCATTGTCATAGACTCAGAGATCAGGACTGTAAGGATCGTTTAGAAAAACCCCTTCTTTTTCCCAAGAAGGAAACACACCCTGAAAGAGAAGAACTAGGGACAGCTCTCTGAGACTTGTTAGAGTGCTAGGGCAGGATATTTTTCATACAGTTCGGTCTCTGATATAGCCCTATCATCCAGGACTGTGGGACCCCCACCTCTACCCGCTATAGTGGGTGGGGAGGGTGTGTCTACGGGGGTAACGGCATCTGCTCACACCTTAAATATTGTCTTACACACTCATTACAATTTTATATTTTACTCCACAATATACTCAGTTTGAGTTTAATATAAGCATAAGGATATATATTTCTTACCATAAAGCAAAGTTGATGCTTGAGAAAGATTCTCTGAGGCTTCTAACACTGCCTGGAACATCACTGGAAGGTTAGGAGCACCCACATTTTAAAAGCCTGACACTGCTACTGTACCATCGGTCCTGTGTAAAGCAGGGCCCTAAGTCCCTAGGAAATAACACTTAGTGAGCACCAACTATACTAGGCATAAAGCCAGGGGTTAGCACGGGTCATCTTATATAAGCCTGACGGCAGCCCTGGGAGGTGGCATCACTTGCCCAAGGACCTGGTGGTGGAGCTGGGATTTCCCGGTTGTCTAACATCCTTCCATGTTAGACTCCACTGTCTACGCTCCGTACATTTATCACGTTGCCTCTGGAGGACTTTGGAAATTGTGCATGGTTCTCCCACCCTCCCTGTGCCCTGTGGCCAGTATAAGTGAAGCCTCGCATGAGTGGCTTCTCTCTCCACCCCTGGCAGGCTGTGGCCTCTTGGTGCCCTGCCTTTCTCTGGCCCTGTCTCTTCCCAGGCTTGGCCACAGCTGTCAGAGATGTCAACCAAATTATTTGTTATTAAAATAAGTCAATTCCCTTATCAGAGTCCAGCTGCCCTTCTAGACATGCTCTCATTTGCAGGCTTGGAGAAAAGGGAGAGGCTGTTCCTTGTCTAAGAGACAAGTTAGGGCAATGCCCTCCGCCTGAAAATTAGGAAAGAGGCCTCCAGAGGTTCTCACGCTGACCCCTGAAAGAGTTTCAGATGCATTGACCCAGCAAGCCCCCTCATCACGTGCTCCGTCGCAGGTTGTGTGTGTCCCCCGTGGGGGAAAGTCCTGAGGACCCAGGCAGGGGGCTGGTATGGTTTGCTACAAAAGTCAAGGGTCTTGAGCTCAAACCAGTGTGCAGCTCTGGGGAACACATGGCCACCCAAGTGAGGTTTCGGATCAGTCTGCGGTGTCAGAGGCTTCCAGACTGGGGTCCCCTGATGGAGAGGGGGTGGTGGGAGGTAAGTTGGGCCTCTTCAGCAGTCCCTCCTGGCTGGGGCTGGGGCTGGGAACAAGATATGGGCTGCAATTTTATTTCCCCAGCACCTCTGTCTTTGCCGACGCCACCCAGAGCCTGAACGGGAAGTGGTTCTTGTGAAAGACTGAGCTGAAGCAGGTGGCAGATGCTGCCAGGCACAGTGTAGTTTTCAAAGGGGATGTTTTCTGCCTGGGAGAGAAAAGCTAGGGGTTTGCACAGCATGAGGCTGATGACTCAATTTCCTTTGTGTCCCTGCTTGAATGGGAAGGACACAGTTTTCTTTAGAATTACCAGAGTAGGCTGGCGCCTTCTACCTTTCTACCTCCTTCTACTTCCACTTACCAGGTTGAAATTTTTTTTTTTTAAAAAGCGTACTCCCTCACAGCTGCCCAACAGGGTTTGAAAAGCCAGCCTAACTGAGTACCGGGAGGGGCGCTTTCTAAAGTTCGTGGTTCAGGAGTCTGGCTTGGCATGGATACAGTGCTTGGGTGTCCCCCATTCTCTGGGACAGCCAGGGTCTTGAACATGCAAATACTCTGTCAATTGGCACATAGTATTATTTTGACTAAATGTGCATATATACATACATATATATATATATATATATAGTTTACAAATAGATGCATGGTTTCATGTGATTAGAAGTCAAACACTTTGTAAGGCTTTTTACATAAAGAAATTCACGTCTTTCTAAATTCTTAATGAATCTGGTGTTGATTAAAGGGATGTTTGGTTCAGAAAGTGTGGACTTTGGAGAGAAATATTGACTAGTCCTCTGCTGTCCATTTCTTGATCACCTGAGTGCGTGAAGTACAAGGAAAAGCCAAGTATTAGATTCCTGTTTGCTAGATGTGGACGTACACACGGGGCAGGTGTGCCTGTAAGTATCTGTGCACCTGAACCTATATGTGGG